CTGCCAGGCGTCTGTGGCCGCTCCGATCTTTCCCCCACGTGGTCTCACCCAAGATGGCGGCTCCTGGAGCAGCCGAGCGTCCCGGACTAGAAAGCAATAGATTTCTTGCTTCTGCCACAAATTCCCCCAGCTGTCAGCCTTCCAACCTTCTAAGTATTCCTTTATAAGTGGTTCAGAGTTCTGGGACCATCCCCTGATCCTGCTTGGTAGGGTATTCTGTGTTGTTGTTGGCGGAGCTCTCTGCTATACATCCACCCAATCCGCCATCTTGTTTGTTCTTAAAGCAGATATTATTAACTGCTCAAAACACAAAAGAAAATAATGCTTATTAAATAAAGATGAAATCACAGCAGAGAAACTAGAAACTTTCACCAAGAACCAAATACAAATCTTTTAACAAAAGATTCATAGGAACTCAAATATGGTAGTCAATAAAAGATAGTTCTAATTTGTTTCATGTGTTATGTTGACCCAGAGTGGCTTCTTCCCTTAAACTAAACATGAATTCCTCTTCTGCAAAGGTCAAGGAGAGAATATGACTAGATTTCATTCAAATAATGATAATTACAAAGTATTCATTCTCCACTAAAATAGTAATGTTGTTGTTGTTAAGTGTTATATAGAGTTGGGTTCCGACCCACAGAGACCCTGTATAGGGTTTCCGAGGAGCAGTTGGTGAACTTGAACCCCCCAGGCCTCCCAGTTCAAGCAAACCTTGCAGTCCAGCACATTAATAAACAGCACCACACCTGGACTCCAAAATAATTGTTGTTGTTGTTAGGTGCCATCGAGTCGGTACCGACCCATAGTGACCTTATGCACAGCAGAATGAAACACTGCCCGATCCTGGGCCAACCTCACTACTATTGCCACACTTGAGTCCACTGATGCTGCCACTTGGCCAATCCATCTCGTTGGGGGGTCTTCCTCTTTTTCTCTGACCCTCCACCTTACCAAACATGATATCCTTCTCTAGAATAATAGTTACCTGTCAATAAAAATGCATTTCTGAAAACCAGTCAGAATCTCATACAACTTCTCAAATTTTTCTCATGATAGGATATATTGATTTGTCTAAAAGGAGAGTTTCTCCAGAGGAAGCAATCAAATGTGAAGACAAATTCACCAAATCGAAAACTGTAAGTAAGTTGGTTTGTACTGAGTCAAATTAGTTCACTATCTAATATGGTAAATAAATAAAATTAACAGCAAAAACAAGAACCCTGCATTTTCTGTATCTTTTAGATATGTTTCCAGTTACATGTTGTTGTTGTTATGTGCCATCGAGTTGATTCCAACCCATAGCGACCCTGTATAGGGTTTCCAAGGAGCAGCTGGTGAGCTTGAACTGCCAACTTTGCAGTTCAGACGGCTTTGTAGTCTGGTGCTTAACCCACAGCACCAGGAAAAATAATTTGAAGGCTTACATTCAAAGGAGTTTTTGTGTTTCGTAGTGCTAATACCTTAGAGTTTATGATTTAAAATTCTCCCTATCTGAAGTGAGGAGGAATTGTTGATTCTCACAAATCAGTACTGAAAATTAGTGGGGAGACTGTGTGTGTTTGATAAAATACAGCAAAACTTGCCGTTTCAACCAATGTTACTTGCATGATTCAGTAACAATTGTGATCAGAGATACTGGGGTTTGGTTTCAGACCACTGCAATAAAGCAGATATTGCAGTAAGGCTAATAATCACTTAAAAGTTTTGCTTTCCCATTGCTGTTGTGTATTAAGTGTGTGATAGCATTAAGAAAAAGTTTGAAATTGTGTTACTGAAATGTGACCCTGACACAAAATGAGCACATAATGTTGGAAAATTGACACTAACAGACTTGGCTTGATTCAGAGTTTACCACAAGCCTTTAATTTATATCTTTTTAAAAAATAACTCATCTGAGTTATTTTAAAACAGAAACATAGTAAAACAGAACACAGTGTGCCTGTGCTCTCACCATATTGCTGTCACTGCTGTTTACACATTTTGTCACCCTTAGTGGAAACTCAGTATCACTTAAGCAGTAACTCCCCAACTTCTCTCTCCTTCCTTACTCCCTAGTTATTTACCTCTGATGAAAGTTAGTGTTTTATTGCCATTTTAGATTAAATGAACTGTGTTATTAGGTGCTCCCGAGTTGGTTCTGGCTCATTGCAACCCTATCTAAAGTGAGGGGGAATTGTTGATTCTCAAAAGTCAGTACTGAAAGTTAGTGGGGAAACTGTGTGTGTTTGATAAAATACAGCAAAACTTTCTTAGGAGTTGGTGGTTTTGAACTGCTAATCTTGCAGTTAGCAGTCCATTGCTTATTCTACAGTGCCTCATCAGGACTCCAAATTCACTATGGATTATGTCTGATTGGGATGACTTAACACATATTTCTTGACTTTGATTCTTGTTGTGGGATAAGGGCCATAGAGATAATTAGTTGTCCATTTAGAATGAGCAGCTGTTGATCAAGGATTTGTAAACCGTTTTTAATCCAGGAAAACAAGAATTGTGTTCTGTCATTTCCTACCTGCTTCTCATCCATAATGAGCACTGATCCAGTAAGCGCAGTCATTTCTTCATTCTTTTCTGTAGCTCTGTTCTTGGACTGGTGCAGTTCCTCCTTCATTCCTTAGAGCCTTAGTTTTTAATTTCACTAATTTCATTCATGTGTTTTCTTTGTCCTCTAATGTCTTGTTTTCTTCTGCATGTGTATTCCTCTTCTCAAGGGGAAATGTTAAGAAAATAATGTTCTTGTGATGAGAAGATTCCTTAAATCTTAAATGTAGTAAAAGACAGAATGAAGATCTAAAAGTAGACCATTGCCTAAGTCTGTGTACTATAGCTTGAAAGCACAATTAGTAACATTCCTTTCAAGTCCTTTTTTAAATTCTTGGGCCTACTCAAAATGTAGCCTCTGAATCAACAACATCAGCGTCACCTGGCTGCTTATTAGAAATGCAGACTCTTAGCACCATCAAAGGTGAGAAATCTTGCTCGAAAAAAAGTCTCCTTAGTTTTGTCTTCATGCGATGTTAAAAATGACTGCCATTAGACCTTAATATCAAGAATGGAGACTTAAAAATGAAATACCCACTATTAGTCCCTTTTCTCACTTTGTGTGACTCAAGTCTGGTTTTTTGCTTTCATATGGAGTTAGAATAATAGTTTACATTTATATAATAGTTTTCCATTTCTAATATGCTTTGTTGTATTTGATCTATGCAAGGAAAGATATTACTATCTCCATTTCAGATGAAGAGACTGAAGTTCAGAAAGGTTAATAGGTCTCAAAGTCAAGATTTGACCCAAATCTTGGAACTAAATTGAGTACACTATTTGTAATATATCCATGAATCAGTCATTATGGAAAAGCAAGTATTTCTCTGTGGATAAAGAACTTGTGTGGAGATCTTTCATTGTTAAGGAATTATAGTCAAATCAACCAAAGGTTTGTTTTTATGTGTTTTCTACTAAAACGTAAAAATATCTGTTTCTATAGATCTTTGATAGTTCTATGACCTGAACCACAGCATATACTGATTTATTATTATAATTAAAAGCTAAAGTGTACCTTTTTTCTAGTTATTTGTTTCAGATGCAGGGTTTGGTACTTTTAAACTTAGCTTGGATGACACACTACCACAGACTGTTTTGTAGTTTTGTTTATAAATCGTATGACCTTTTAGAAGGGGGTGTGGGAATGTATCACCATGAAATGTTAGAATAAGCATCTTTGAAGTGTTGAGCCCTTCATTTTGTTTCTAGGTTTACAGCATTCTACGTCACGTGGCTGAGGTGTTAGAATACACCAAAGATGAACAGCTGGAAAGCCTGTTTCAGAGGACTGCCTGGGTGTTTGATGACAAGTACAGGAGGCCTGGATATGGTGCCTATGATGCATTTAAGCATGCAGTCTCGTAAGAACACCTTGGTTCTGCTTTGATAAATAGCTGCTAGGTCAAGCACACAGTTGATAACCTGACATTTAATAGCACAACATATTAAACCCTTGCCAAATTTAGATAATGATAGTTCAGTATAAATGCTCCCAATTGGGCCAGTCCAATAAGGCCAAATCTATTTAGTTTCATGTCACACTGCTCCCTTTTACATTTTCCTCTCAGATTTATTCATTGTCATAGGTAACTTTGGGACCATTATAAGTGTCTCATCCAAAACTGTCACCTGTTATCTTCTTTGTATTGATTCCTTTAACCTTCAGCTCTTATCACTTAAGCCAGTGTTTTCTATAGCCTCACCTTGGGCCTTACCATCTTCAAGATTTGCTCTGCCTAAAAACTTTCATTCACACAGTTCATTCTTTTACCATAGCTTTCCATTTGTCCAGTTCTCATGCATAAAGTGAGCCCTGCTTGTCTTTTCATCCTCTCCTGCCTTTTCTTATTCAGCTATAATAACACATCATGATCTACTTCAACATATCATGAACTTTTTGCCCTGTTTGTCCTTCTGTTACATCCAGCCCTAGAGTGATGTTCCTGCTTTCTCTGCACTTGTAGACTGCTGAGTGCTGCTAGAGAAAAATTCTAGTCTAACAGACAGGTGCCACCACATATTCACCATCTTCAATCTCAGCAGGGCCCTCCCTGCTGCCCTACAGTCTCTGCTGGTCAGCTCTGCCTGCCTCCCATTCTTATGCAGCTATCCACTGTCTGCTCTTCCCTCACTCAGCTGGTGAGCTCACCACCTATTTTACAGAGAAAATAGAAGCGATTGCTCATGATCTCCACATCCACCATTTCCGTGAACTCAACTCCATTCCACTGTCATGTCTTAATGCACTCCTGACACAATGGAATCCTTGTCCTTCCTGCTCTCAAGATAATCTTAACCACCCAAGCCCAACCATGGCTCAGGCATCTCTTTCCATCCAGCCTTTCCCATTATTGGCTGTATCAGTGTAACAACATTCTCCAGTTTGTACCGTTAATGCTAAGAATCAACATTCTCAGCTTTCCCTCTACTCTCCTATAGCAAGCACCATGTCCTTGCCTTTTAACAGCCACAGTCCTTCAGTTTGCTGTTTGCTGTCTCTCCTCCTTCCCCTCCCACTCCTTCATAAATGGCAGTATTCTGCAGCAGCCTCACCAATGCATTGAGGTTACTTTTCCAATTCTTACCCCTCAGAAAAGAGACTATCAACCCCTAGTAGGCAGCAGCCTCATCTGAAGTTCTAAGTACTATCTGCTTTACCCCCAGGTGACCTAAAATAATTCTTCCCCCTCTCCTGCCAATATATTATGGAAAGGGAAAGGGCAATAATAATAATAGCTAACATTTATATAAATCTCTGGTAGCATATTGGGTTACCCTTGGGGCTGGTTAACCTCAAGGTCACTGCTTAGAATCCACCCGCCACTCCACTGGAAAAAGATGAGGCTTTCTGCCCCCAACAGTCCTATGGTATAAATTTCTATCCCTGCCTTACAGATGAGGAAATTGCAGCAGAAATGAAATAATTTGTGCAAGGTTAGGTCCAAGCTGGAGCTGGTATCGAGAGTTTTGCTATTAAACATTTGTTGTTAAGTGCTGTCAAGTCAGTTGCGACCCTGTATAGGGTTTCCAGGGAGCGGCCAGTGGGTTTGAACTGCCAACCCTTCGGGTGGTTCAAACTGACCTCGCGGTCCAGCGCATTCAACCCACAACACCATACCAAGATTCCCTATTTACCATTGGTGGTGGCAGTTCAGACTCATAGCAACCCTGTATAGGGTTTCTGAGGCTGTACAGGAGCAGAAAGCCTCATCTTTCTCCCGTGGAACGGCTGGTAGTTTTGAACCGCTGACCTTGAGCTTAGCGGCCCAACTCAACCACTACACTACCAGAGCTCCTTTACTGTCCATTAAGTGTACTGCTTTATATTTTTAATGGGATCTCTGACCTCAGTCAGCATGTTTGTTAACTTGGTTTACTGTTGTCATCTGGTCTAGACTCATTTCTCTTGTGTCCAATTCCAGTATCGCTCCCTTAACACCTTAACAAGGCCTTGGTACATATTCCCTTTCCGTGTAACACTCTATTACCCCAACACTCATGTAGCCATTTTCTTTGAGATAAATTTCAGAGATAATGTAGAAACACTGTTTTATTCCATTTCTCTCATCATTGGTAATCACTAGTCTGAAATTTGTGTGCATCCTTGTCACTTGTATTTTATGGTTTATGAAGTAAGTATATATATATATATATATATATATTTGTAAAGTGTATATAGAGTCATTTTTTGTATTTAATATTGTATTTACATAGCTCTATGTTTGCTTAGCTATTGTTAAGCAGGATTTATCCACAATACTTAACAGCAGCAGTAGCAATAGATGTATACCTACTTCGTCTATATTAACTTCTGTATAGTATTTCACTGTGAGAATATGTGGTCTCTGTTCCCCTCTGTATTTTTCCAATGTATTTTTTTCCCCATTTTTCAAATAATGCTATGATGAAGATCCATGCGTATCTCTTCATGTGTAGATATGCGAGTTTCCACGTATGAGTGGAATTGCTGCGACATTGGATTATAAGTATCTTTAAATTTATTTGGTTTTTCCAAATTGTCCAAATTGATTCTGCAATTCATACTCCCTCTAGCAATTGTGTAAGTGTTATTTCCTTATATCCTCATCAACATTTGTATACATTTCACATTTCTTCCTTTTGCCAATCAAAAGGCCATCTTGTTTTGATTTACATTTTTCTGGCTTCTCATTTGCCCATTTTGTTAGTTTGCCCTCTTGATGCTTTGTGCATAGTTATTAGCTAAATGAATGTTGTCCTGCCTGGATTCTTTTGTTTACATTCCTCATCAGGACGAGGTCCCATGCTTTTTTAAATGGGGGCTTACTCATAATATTTTTTATACTAGAATGTCATAACTCTCTTAAAATTGCTTGTAAGAATAAGTAAGTGTTCCCATTGTTTCATTCATTTATTCTCCACCCCCACCCCACCCCTCAATTTGTGTGTTCATTCAGCAGAGAGCTAGGCACTGTGCTAAGTGCTGGTAGTAGTACTACAGTAACTAAGACCCTGACCACTGACTTATTGGGGTTCTTGAAGGTCAGATGAAATCCAGTTCCTTCCTGAAGCCCTTCCTGACCCTACTGGTTCCCATGGATAAGTTTTTATTTTTACACATTGTTCAATATTTCTGTTCTTTTCGGACTAGGTTATAGATACCTTAAAGCATGGTAATAATAGGGGAATTTCTTAAGTATTTGGAGACATTTTAAATTGCTCATTTTAACCAAAGCTCAAAAAATTGTTTTTAAATAATAGCCAAAATTCATTGGTTGTTTTTTATGTCATGCACTACTGGTAGTGTAGTGGTTATGAATTGGGCTGCGAACCACAAGGTCAGCAGTTCGAACCTACCAGCTGTTCCGTGGGAGAAAGATGAGGCTTTTTACTCCCGTAAAGATTTACACCTTCGGAAACCCTTTACAGGGTCGCTATGGGTCCAGAACCGACTGTAAGGCACATAACAATTAAATGCTTGATTTGCATTATCTCATTTAATATTCATCACAGTCCTGTGAATTACATTTTATTGTGATTTTACACATCTGGAAGCAAGGGTTTAGAAAGGTCCAAAGATACATAATTATTAAAGTACAAAGCTAAGATTTAAACTTGAATTCTGTCTCTAAAGCCTGGGCTCTTAACTATTATTCTCTGCTACTGTATTTCATTTCACAATTATCAGTAATTTAGCCTTGATCTTTTGTTTTGTGTTTTTCTGTTTGTTTTAATCAGAGATCCAGCTATTTTGGATAGTTTAGATTTGAATGAAAATGAACGGCGAGTACTCATTGACAATATTAATAGGCGTTTGACTCCACAGGCTGTTAAAATTCGTGCAGGTAAATATTAATGGTCTAATAAATAACCCTTAAAATAATGAGCCTTGCAAGTGAATATATTGTTGCATCAACACTAAAATTTTCCAAATTTAGTTTAAGAAATTAAATTGGTTTTTCTTCTACTGGATCATCTTAAAATGTGTAATGTATATGTTAGCACTAGGTAATAACAGTCATAATTAAGTTGACTTAGCTGTATGTTACCACAAGGTCAGTGGGTCAAGCCCACCAGCCATTCTATGGGAGAAAGATGAGGCTTTCTGCTTCTTAAAAGATATACAACCTCGAAAATCCTATGCAGTGTCACACTGAATTGGGACTGACTCAATAGCACTTAACAATAAGTCCTAAGTTAGCTCTTTTTTAAGGTGTATATTGTTTTGTTTCAGTGTATACTACTACCAGAATGGAGTCCTGGTGTGGTGCTGTGGGTTAATGTGCCTGACTGTAAAGCCATTTGAACTGCAAGGTTGACAGTTCAAGCTTACCAGCTGCTCCTCAGAAACCCTATACAGCATCGCTATGAGTTGGAACTAAGTTAATGGCACTTAACAGCAACAGCTACCAGAATATTCTAAGAGTATGGCAATATTCTTCCATGTCTCTGGAATAATTTAGCAATAGTTTGGGATACATTTTCTCAAACATCTTTCTTTTATGTAAATATTATACCTGGAGGTATATAAGTATATGTTTTTTAATGCTGTCATGTTGATTCCAATTCTTAGTAACCCTATATAAGGTTTCCAAGGAGCAGCTGGTGGGTTTTAACTGATGACCTTGCAGATAGCCACTCATTTTGTAATCCGCTACACCACCAGAGCTGAGTTAAGGGGGATACATATTTGTAGGTGATTTTCCTAAGCCATTTTCATTACTGTTTCATACCACCTTCACAATACTACTCCAATCCCCATTTTGGAAATAAGGAACAAAGGCACAGAAAGGTTGGAATCAGGATTTACATTCTAACCAAGACATCAGTAGTGTAAACCCATCTAGGGGCTTTGCAGGAAAACAGACATGGGGACCTACTCCCATAAAGATTACAACCTACGAAACCCTGTGGGACAGTTCTGCTGTTGTTGGGTTGTTATGAATATTGGATATTGAAATATAATGAAGAAAGGGCACCAGAATATTGTCAGATATAGTATAAGATGAGCCCCTCAAATTGAAAAAGCTGCCTCTAACTAGAGTTTACTCTGGTGACGTGAATAGAGTAAAGCTTTCAGGACCTTCATTTGCTAATGAGGCACAACACAAAATGAGGAGAAACAGCTGTAAGCATCCATTGATAATCAGAACATGGAATGTACAATATATGAATCTAGAAAAATTGGGGATCGTCAAAAATGAAACGAAATGTATAAACATTGATATCCTAGGTGTCGTTGTTGTGTGCTGTTGAGTCAGTTCTGATTCATAGCGACCCTGTATAGGGTTTCTGAGAAACAACTGGTGAATTTCAACCACTGACCTTAACAGTTTAAACTGACATTGAGGTCAAGTGCTTATCCTAAGGTGCCATACTAGAACACGATCCTAGGCATTAGTGACCTAGGCCATTTTGAATCTGACAATCACATGGTTTACTATGCCAGGAATGACATGGAGAGAAATAGATTCACACTCATCATCAGAAAGAACATTTCAAGATATATCTTGAAGTACAATGCTGTCTGTGATAGGATAAGATGTATATGCCTACAAGGAAGACCAGTTAATACAACTATTATTCAGATGTACGCATCAACCACTAAAGCCAGTGATGACGAGATTTAGGAATTCTACCAGCTTCTTCAGTTTGAAGTTGATCATACATGTAATCAAGATGTACTGATTACTGGTGATTAGAATACAAAGTTTGGAAACAAAGAGGAAGGGTCAGTCATTTGAAAATGTGGCCTTGTTGATACACATGATGCTGGAGATACTATGATGGAACTGTGAAAGACCAATGGCTACTTCATTGCAAATATCTTTTTAAACAGCATAAAAGATAATTAGAGATCATCTCAGGAACAGATTTGATGAATTTGACACTAATGACAGAATACCAGAACAGATGTGAGATGACATCAAAAGCATCATACAGGAAGAAAGCAAAAGGTCATTAAGAAGACAAGAAAGAAGGATAAGACTAAAATGAATGTCAGAAGAGACTCTGAAACTTGCTCTTCATTGTAGAGGTACTAAAGCAAATGGAAGAAGTGAAGTAAAAGGTGAATTGAAAATTTCAAAGTGCAGCTCAAGAAGACAAAGTCAGATATTAAAATGAAATGTGCACAGACCTGGAGTTGGCTGAAAGGGAAGAACAGGCTCAGCATATCTGAAGTTGAATGAACTGAAGGAAAAATTCAAGCCTCAACTTGGCAATACTGAAGAATTCTTTGGGCAAAGTGGAGTCCTGTTGTGGTGCTGTGGGTTAATGTTGTTATGTATCGTGGAGTCAGTTCAGACTCATGTACAGGTTTTCCAAGGCTATAAATCTTTACAGGAGCAGAAAGCCTCATCTTTTTCCCACGGAACAGCCGGTAGTTTCAAACTGCTGACCTTGTGGTTCACAGCCCAATTTGTAACCACTACGCTACTGTGGGTTAATGTGGTAGATAGACTGCAAAGTTGATTTGAACCTCAAGGTCGGTGGTTTAACCTCATTTGCTGCTCCTCAGAAACCCTATTACAAGGTCACTATGTGTCGAAACCTATTCGACAACACTTAACAACATGGGCAAAATGCAGAAGCATCAAAAGAAGATGGAAAGAATACACAGTCACTGTACCACAAAGAAATTGTTGATGTTGGACCATTCTAAGAGGTAGCATATGATCAGGAGCCGGTGATACTGGAAGGGAGAAATTAAAGGTTCATTGAAGGCATTGGCAAAGAACAAGGTACCTGCAATTGATGGCATACAAATTGAAATGCTTTGTCAAACTAATGCAGCACTGGAGACACTTCATCTATGGCAAGAAATTTGAACTAAAACTATCTGGCCAACTGATTAGAAGTTATCCATATTTGTGCCCATTCCAAAGAAAGGCGATCCCAACAGAATGCAGAAATCATCGGACAATATCATATGCAAGTAAAATTTTGCTAAAGATAATTCAAAAGCAGCTATATCAGTACATTGACAGGGAACTGCCAGAGGTTCAAGCTGGATTCAGATGAGGACTTTAACAAGAGATATAATTGCTGATGAGAAATGGATCTTGGCTGAAAGCAGAGAATATCAGAAAGATGTTTGCCTGTGCTTTATTGACTATGCAAAGACTGGATTGTGTACATCACGATAAGCTACGAACACATCGCAGAGAATGAGTATTCTGGAACACTTAATTGTGCTCATGAGGAACCTGTACATAGACCAAGAGGCAATTGTTCAAAAAGAACAAGGGAGCACAGGATAGTTTAATATTAACAAAGGTGTGTGTTAGAGTTGTATTCTTTCACCATACTTATTCAGGCTTTATGATGAGTAAAATAATCCAAGAGGCTGGATTGTATGAAATAGATCATGGTATCAGGATTGGAGGAAAACTCATTAACAGCCTGCAATGTACAGATGATACAACCTTGCTTGCTGAAAGTGAAGAGGACTTAGAATACTGATGAAAATCAAAATCACAGCCTTCAGTATGGGTCGCACCTCGATGTAAAAACAAAAATCCACACCACTGGGCCAATAAATATGATAGATGAAGAAAAGACTGAAGTTGTCAAAGACTTGATTTTGCTTGGATCAACCATCCAAACCATCAACATTTCATGGAAGCAGCAGTCAAGAAATCGAACGATGTGTTGCATTAGGGAAATCTGCTGCACAAGATCTCTTTAAAGTGTTCAAGACCAAAGATACTGGTTTGAGGACTAAGGTGAGCCTGGCTCAAGCCATGATACTTTCAGTAGCATTATGCATGTGAAAGTTGGGCAGTGAATAAGAAAGACTATAGAAAGAAGAATTGTTACATTTGAGTTATGGTGTTGGAGAAGAATATTAAAAGTACCACGGGCTGCCAAAAGAACAAATAAATTTGTGTTGGGAGAAGTATAGCTAAGTGCTCCTTATTGTTGTTAAGTGCCATCAAGTTGACTCCAACTCAGTAGCAACCCTGTGTAATGCTCCTTAGAACCAAGATTTTCTTTTAAGAGATACTTTGGACATATTATCAGGAGGGACCAGCCCATGGAGAATGACATACTTGGTAAAGTGGAGGGTCACTGAAAAAGAGAAAGACACACAGAGATAGATTGGCACATTCGTAGCAGCAGTGGGCTCAAGTGTAGCAACAACTGTGAGGTTGGCGTAGGACCAGGCAGTGTTAACATTCTGTTATGCATAAGGTCGCTATGAGTTATACTCGATGGCACCTAACAAGAAGAAGGATGACTATGAGTCAAAATCAGCAATAACTAAATAAACACAGAGTCTCTTTCCTGGATTTTACAGCCAGAAGTTAAGGTTTCTGGCTTATAATTTATAGCTTCATCTTTAGGTGTCTTGGTATAGGTGAAAACTATGTTGTTTTGGAGTGAGTTTGGTTTGTTCCTAATTATGAAAATTTTCATAGTTCTGATTTAAAAAAAAAAAAAAAATTAAAAGCTAGTAGCTGCGATTGGTTTCTAATGGAAAGGATGATGACAGCTTTCTTTACTTGTATACTAGTATATCTCCCATGTCAGTGATGATTATCAGCTTTTTAAATATTTTTAATTTTAGATATTGAAGTAGCTTGTTATGGTTATGAAGGCATTGATGCTGTGAAGGAAGCCCTGAGAGCAGGCTTGAATTGCTCCACAGAAACCATGCCCATCAAAGTGAGTAATCCCATCTTCTCTTCCTGTTGAACCTTGTTTTAATTTTCTTTTTAATGATCATGTTTCATAATAAAAGTAATTTTTGCTCTTAAAATGGAGCCTTGGATGTTTGAGGTTAAGTGTAGTGTAGACTTTTTATTGTTACTATTGCTATTGTCCTAGTGTGTGGAGATTCCTATAGGTGAGTAGTACCAGAGGGCTCTCAATATTAAACTTACTACAATAAAAAGTTGCTATACCCAGAATTCCAAGAGCACCTGGAAATGCTTATATAGCTTATAAGAGGCCTAGTCTGAGTCTTTTGTTAGTGGTAAGTTGGATGGTGGTGGTTCAGTATCTCCTAGAAGAGTTTTTCCATGAGTTTGGTTGGAACCTAATAGGAATTTGTTTGTTTTGGAGACAAATTGTCCATTATGTTAATGACTATAGTTAGTTTAGCCCCCATAGGACACCAAGAAGTCCTAATGTTGGTATTGCAACGGGTTGTTTTGACTACTAGACTAGATTACAGTCCTTCATGTCCACAGATTCTGCATCTGTGAGTTAACCAACTAAAGATCAAAAATATTCCGGGGTAGGTAATTAATTAAGTGGTCAAAACAATTACTCAAAGGCTAAGAAAGGACATAAAATTCTATTTAGCCCGTTTTAGGTATTATAAGCAAGTCGGATGATTTAAAATACACAGCAGGATATGCATAGGTTATATGCAAGTACTACATCATTATATATAATGGACTTGAGCATCCTTGCATTTTTGTATCCATATGGGTTCCTGGCCCAGTCCCTGACAGATAACTAAAGACAACTGTAATTAGCTTTTTTTTTTTTTTTTAATTAAACAAAACTGTTAATTGTGAATTAAGTGAATGTTTACAGAGAAGATCATTAGTCTTAAGTTCAACAGATCATACACTTTGTTTCATCTCAGTGATTGAAGTCCCTCCTATCTATCAGCAGCATCCCACTTCCTCCCTGGGGTTCCTGTTTCTCTTCCACCCTCCACCCTCCTTCCCAACCTTAGGTAAAAGTTTCTATTTTGTTCTCAAATGATTGACAATTCAATGGTCAGCCCACCTTACTAATGTTCCTATCTACTGCTTGGCTGTCCAGACCTGAAGGGTAGTCAAGGGCCTAAGTCTTGGGTTCCCCCAATCTCTTTCTAACCAATAAGCCAGTCTTTTTTATAGTTTTGAATTTTATCCACGACATTGAGATGTGATCCCTTTCAAAGTAGTTGGTAGTGGTAGCCAAGCACCATCTAGTTCTTCTGGTTCCAGAATTGTGGTGACTGGTGTTCGTAATTAGCTCTTGTTGCTTTAGGAAACTCTATCCCAAATTGCTGACCTACAGAATTTTGGAGTACACTTTCGAGTGCAGCTGATTAGCAGTACCCTAATTTAATGGTTTATGTTGAATACCTGATTTCTCTGTCTTTCCTCCCTTAGATTAATCTAATAGCTCCTCCTCGGTATGTGATGACTACAACCACCCTGGAGAGAACAGAAGGCCTCTCTGTTCTCAATCAAGCTATGGCTGTGATCAAAGAGAAGATTGAAGAAAAGAGGGGTGTCTTCAATGTTCAAATGGAGGTGAGAGCAATAACTTCATGATTTGCCTTTTCTCAAGTTTTTAAGGAAATTTCAATTGTCTAAATGATATGTATTCTAAAAATACCTTACCACTGTTTTTTATGCAAGGAGCTCTGGTTGCGTAGTGGCTACGAATCGGGCTGCGAACCTTAAGGTCAGCGGTTCGAAACTACCAGCTGCTCTGCGGGAGAAAGATGAGGCTTTCTACTCCCGTAAAGATTTACACCCTCGGAAACCCTGTACGGGGTCGCTATGGGTCGGAACCGACTCGACGGCACTTAACAACAACAACAACAACATGCAATTAGGGTTGTATCTCTGCTAACGTATAATAGTCATTGGCTCAGAGGTCTTTGATAGGTAAAAAGAGCCATTTGCACTAGATAGACTATCATATCCATGGGTATTTGAACCTTCAAAAAGTTCATGGAAAAATGGAATTAAAAACTAATGACAGTTTTCCATGCACGTTTTTGAAGGCCCCTCGTAAATCTTGGGATGGTTATTATTAAGGACTGTGCTTGGATTTTTCTCCCATAGAAAATGTAGTTAATAAAAACTAGTAATTATTATCAGAGCTTGAATGTGGGATACTTAAAATTTGATCTCAGAAACTGAAACAAGAGTAGTCTGTCATTTCCTCATCTTAAAAGAGCCCAGGTACCATAGTGGTTACAAGATAGGCTGCTAACCACAAAGTAGCAGTTCAAATCCACTAGCCAGTCCGAGTGAGAAGTATGAGACTTTGTGCTCCTGTAAAGACATACCGCCTCAGAAATCTTGTTCAGAATTGCCATGAGTCCGAACAGACTCGACAGCATACAAATGTCACCAGTAAGAAAGAAGCCATGCGTGCACATTTGTGTAATGGATCTCCTGTGTGGAAAGGAATAGGTCATTTATTTTTATTCTAGACATGCTTTTGTTAGTGTTAGACAGACTATCTATTATTTGTGGACTTGCTTTAAAGATACATAATCTTCATATATGTATGGTGGCGGTTATGTGCCATGGAGTCGGTTCTGACTCATAGCGACTCTGTACAGGGTTTCTGAGGCTGTAAATCTTTACAGAAGCAGAAAGCCTCATCTTTCTCCCACGAACAGCTGGTAGTTTCGAACTGCTGACCTTGCAGTTCACAGCCCGATTTGTAACCACTATGCTACCAAGTTTCTACTTACAAGAATGACAGAAAACAGTACTCCATTTTAATCTACACATCTTATTCCCATATTGTCTTGTTTTCAGAATTTGAGGTTACTAGTGATGTCAGCTGTTACAGCATCAGACTTTTAATCTGAGGGTCCAAAGTTCAGACATTTCTCTGGAGTACTGGTGTCGCACTGTAGGATAAGCACTGGTCTGCTAACCACTTGATCAGAGGTTCAAACCCACCAGCTGCTTCTTGGAAACCCTATACAGGGTTGCTGAGTCAGAACCGACCCAACAGCACTTAATGATGACAAGTGATGTCAGCACTCGGAAATTAGTAAATATAGTAGAGTTGTTAGGAAGCAGAGTGTTTTCTTGAGTTAAAATGAAATTGAACTTTTGTCTAACTTACTACATCACATTGAAATTGTGCCTCTGCTTCCACAGCCCAAAGTGGTCACAGATACAGATGAGACTGAGCTTGCAAGGCAGCTGGAGAGGCTGGAAAGAGAAAACGCTGAAGTGGATGGAGATGACGATGCAGAAGAAATGGAAGCCAAAGCTGAAGATTAACTGTGGGGAAGAGTCTAAGCCACGGATCGCAGAGCAGCCCTTTCTGGCTGGACTGCACAAACCCTAGACTTGATGAAAGTTTTCCAGTATTGAAAACTTTAAAGCTGAATATTTTTTATTTCCAAGTATTGAAATGCTCCAGCAGACCAGAACATGATATGCCCTCCTCTAAACATCAGCAGTCTGCACACAGTAGCTCCAACACACTGAGCATTGTTAAGGGAATGGCTTAATAGAGACTAAAATCTTGACGCTAATAACAGTCATAAAATCAGGCCTGTGATTTCTTTTTCTCATGTCTCCAGATTGGCACCCCTGTGAAACTCCGTGCCTCCATGAGCTCTGCCAAGGGCACTCAAAACAAACAGTTCCAATCTTTCTATTTAAAATGTATTCAAGCAAACATTGAATAAATTTCTGGGATATTTAACTATAGACTTCTTCCTTCTTGTCAGTAATTAAAAACATTGGGAATACTAAGACCTTAATTCTGTTCATTTTAGTCTAGATGTAGAAACAGGAGCAATTAGCATTTTATGTGCATTCAGAACATCTAAGATTTGGAATTAAAATAAGAACCCTATTTGCTAGAAAGAATCTATTTAGCAGGTCCCTTCAAAAGGAGATTGTAGAGAAAGAACAAGTGAAAGCCAATCCTTAAGATTTAATGCAATTACAGAGTTAAATTGGCTGTGTGCCTTTTATCTACAGGCAGTCCCCAAAGTCTACATAAGTTGAATTCTTAGCTAAATTGGAACAGGTGCATATAGCTCGTATTTAGCCTTCCTTGAGTGTAGGGAACAGCTGGATGTCTTTTCCATGATTTAAAAGCTGCGCATGCAGCAAGCAAAGGGGATTGTGACAAAGACTTTGCTATGAGTGGTGGTTGGTGAAGGAACCCTGGTGGTGCTGTGGGTTAGGCATCGGACAGTTTACTGCAAGGTCGGCAGTTCAAACCCATTAGCTACTTTGTGGGAGAAAGTTGAGACTGTTCCTGTAAAGATTTATAGTCTCAGAAAACCTATGTAGGGTCACTGTGAGTTGGAATTGACTCACTGGCAGTGGGGTTTTGAGTTTTAGTGGTAGGTTGGGTCAGTCCTTTCAAATGGAGGACAAATTTGCATAAGTAGGAATCATGTTTGGTAAGGTTGAGGGTCAGAGAAGAAGAGGAAGATCCCCAGCAAGATGGATTAGCCAAGGGGCAGCATCTGAGGGCTCAAGTGTGGCAGTAATTAGTGAGGTTGGCCCAGGATCTGCTGTGCATAAGGTTGCTGTGGGTCGGTACTGACTTGATGGTACCTAACAACAACAGAAATTGTCTGTAACCCGACTGCCTGTCTTTGAGACCAATGACAACGTGTTGTGTTAGGAGGGATTTGTAGTGGTCCAACCTGCCTGTACTTCAAGGTGGTAAAGAAGGTTTGTTTTGTTTTGTTTTTAACGTTTTATTGTGAATTATATGATAGTTTACATGGGGGAACTTCAGTTTTACATTCATTCCATCATATATCATCTCACTGCCATGGTTCCAATTCCCTCCATGCATCATCAACCACCCAAAGGGTATATCCCAGAAACCCGCTCTCTACACTACACTTTCCCCTCCTCCCCCCAGTTTTCAGCCCACAGTCCCTTTCCCTCTCTGGGTCCAAAGTCCCCAGTTGCTTCATCACTCCATGTCATCACCACTGTCTCCATCTCAGGCATCTCTGTTTCTCTGGGCAGGGTCCCGCCCTCGGCTCTTCTCTGTTGATGGTCCCAGAGGCCTCTGCTCCTATCCTGGAGAATTAATCACTACCTCCCTTGTTACAAAACTTCTACCTTTGCATTTCCAACCCTCATAATCCGTCCTGGTAAGCATTATTCACTACAGTATCACAAGTTACCCATCTGTATCTCCTTTCATCTGCTCCGCCCAGACAGATTGAATAGTACCTACTAGAGCTTCTGCTTTCCGCCATGCTCTCTAGCACCAGGTTCCCTCTTGAAAGCTTGTAAGCCAGTCACTTCTTGCCTTTATAGTCCCCACCCTCCCCATTTGAGTATCCAATGTCCAAGCTGCCCTTCTCCATCCACTCTGTGTGTGTGTGTGAGGGGGGGTTGTGTGTGTGAATGTTTCTTGCTGTGAGGATTTGTTCCCTCTTTTGATTCACTGCTCCATAGGTATAGGTCAAGTTCATCAGACTGTATCAGCTCACTCTTTTTTTTTTTTTCCCCCTCTTCTTTCCTGTCCTGGTTGAGCTCAAATCATCCAATCATCTGGTCCAGGTCACGTGGGTATCATCTGCAAGTGTGGGTGGAGCTCCTGTGCATATGTCCTCTCTTCCCGTCAGCCGGTAGCTCCACTCTCCTCTCGAGTCCTCCAAGGCCACACCACTGACTCTGGGCCCAAGAGACCCCAGGCCTCTTCACACTGCTTGCCAACCAGGTCCCCAACTGGGTCCACAGAAGTCCACTGAACATTGTAGGGCTTAGCTTGCCGCTTCATTGCTGCTTTTACCCCACTTCTCCCCATCGGTGATGTGTGTGGTCACCAATCAGAGCGTGCATTTCCGTTGAGTCTTAGTCTTGGAAGGGGGTTTGCGTTGAGAGGACCTGGCCACTTGCTTTGATGTTTCCTAGGGAAGCGATTTGTTTGTTCTTGTAGTAACAGTCCATCTGCCTCCATTTTTCCTGCAGGTCTTTCTTTCAAGAGGTATCTTTTATTCTTCTATCTTCTAGCCGCTCCAGGCTGGTCTGCTCATCCTCTCAAGTGGAGTTTTCTCATCTCTGGAGATCTGGATGTGGTTCCGGTTTCTACCTATAGTTTTATGTATTGCCAAGGCTCCACAAGAAGCCTCGTTCACTGGGTACGCTGTAGCCCCATTTTAGGTATTCCAATCAGTCATAGGCAGAAGACGGACTTACAAGCCTTAAAGAAGGTTTTTAAAAAAGAGAGATGTTGCTGCTTTCATTGATTGGAGTATCAGCCCTCAGCTTTAAGATATCCAGTAGGTGCCACCTGGAGCGTCAGTTGTCTTTATAATAAAACAGGCATCTGCTTGAACACAACTCCATGAATTTTCTACATGTCTTTATCTTTAAGAGCTAATTATTTTAAAGATGTATGTGTAACATAAGCTTTATAGATAACGTTGTTTGAAGCTACAGTAACTACCATAGTTATGGCAGAGGAAATCTTGAGCTGCTAACCCAAATGGATTTCTTGGAGTAGCTGTTTAAATACTTAGAAAATTCAAAGTAACCTACCCTAGGAAATCGAGAACTAGACTCAAAAGAAATAAGAAATAAGAGTGTGCTAGGGGGGTGGTATATGGCATTTGTGTTGGTTTGTCCCTTTGTTTAAAGCAGCATCCAGAAGTCTTAACTTTCGAGAACTAGTGTCCAAAGGTGAGCCATGACTGCTAGCTAGCATGCCACCTGGGAGAGAGTTTGGATGTAATCAAGATGTGATCTTTCACTTGCCACTAATTTTGCCTTTTTTTCCTGTGCTATCAACACAAGTTTATGAAGATCACAACATCAAAAGTGTTACCAAAACATAACAGATGCTCTTTAAATGATTGCTATACGCAGAGGAGGTGTCCTGGTGTGGCGCTGTAGGATAAGCACTGGTTGGCAGTTCAAATCTACTAGCTGCTCTTTGGAAACCCTATACAGGGTCGCTATGAAGTGTCACTTACCAACAGCATAAGCAGAATTAATTTTTTAATATACTTAAGCCATGGCTGTTGGAAAATACTGGTGGCTTCCTTAGTGAATGATATTTATACAAGACTTTGGCCCAGTTCTATTAAGAATTTGCAAATTTTTGAGCTTTGCCAGGAGCAGATCAGTACCTCATTTGATTATGCCCAAGGAGAGAACAAACTATAGTGCACATACACCCTGCTGACACACCCAGGTTTGAACAATTTGAACTAGAAGACAGATAAAGAATCCTGGTGTAGCGCTGTGGTCTAATTGGTCAGACTGCAAAGTCACAAGGTCAGTGTTTCAAGCTCACCAGCTACTCCTTGGAAACCCTATCTATATAGGTTACCTATGGGTCAGAATCGACTCAACAGCAGTTAATAACAACAACCCACATTTTATGTCTCTCCCCTTGAAAGCCTTTTTATCAAAATACAATGACTACTTTCCACTCTGTTGTTGATATATAGAGATCGATCAAGTGATTATCAACTTCTTACTGAAATTAGCTAGAGTAGATATGAGAAATCAAAAATGGCCAGGAAAAAATGTGAGCACTTAAACTATTGCTTCTATCAATTTTACAGTAATATGAGGCAAACGATTCAGTGGGATCTGCAGAGACACAAAGTACATCTTGCTCAGCACTATGCACTGTTCAGTTGCCAACTTCCCAGCATTCTTGATCTGGCTACTTTACACCCAAAGTCATTAAAGTAGAATTTTTAAAATTTATTTCATGTGCCAATATCTTACTAACCAAGACATGCTAACTAATTTGTCAGGTGTCATCTTTTCAACACAAGCATTCTGATGTCTCCTACACAAAGTGGGGCACATTTGTACCAATGGGACAGGAAGTCATTACACTAACTGTAGGTAGAGTTTTAATTAAGAGAAACCTGTGAGTATTCAAGAGCAATAAAAGAAACATTTCCAGGGACATTATTAGACCCTGGTGAAATGGAAAATGGTGCTTTTAAAGGCGAGGTCTTTTACAATGGAAGGAATTAAGAAAACCCTCATTAGTTTGGAATTCCAAGTCATGTCAGGTATTCTAAGCAAGATTAGAGGGAGAAAGTTCTAACTAGTTAAAAGGATGAAATTATTTGAGTACTTTAGAAGGACCCACTTCCCTTAAATGTAAGTTACGTATCTATTCATTGAAACAAGTCTAAGCACTTATACTTGGCTAGAATGCTGGCAATAGTTTGTGGCAGATTGCTGTATGAACTTGAAATAAAAATGTTCTTTAAAAATATTGTATGATACAGATTTTTCACTATTTCACATTAACTGCCCAACTGCTGACATCTCTTGGCACCTATTTTCTCAGGTAATGTTCATTTTTAAAGCAAAATTTCATGCTTTGATTTAATTCTTTTTCCGTTCACATACTTCTGTCCCTTCATCTAAATTTAGCAGTTCCTGTTCCTCTGCATTCATTTCTGAATGTCCATTTTTCATAGAAAAGAAACTACTACGTGTGTGTGCGTATGTGTGTAAAATTTGTCATTCCAACTTAGTCCATGACTTCTTTCTGTAATAATAGTAACTTGTGCAGACTTATTTTCAAAGCAAAAGTAAGTCTTCAACTGAAGTATTGCCACCATGCCCATTTTTAGATGAAGTATGCCTTGGTGCTGTGGGTCACTTGTGATGTTTGCAGGATCTGCTTGTATAACAATCATATAGTCCCAAGCCTTTGAAAGCTGTAAAACTTACAGGAATTGCAATCATAGCTAGAAACGTCACTTTTTATTACTTTTATTAATTCCAAAGAAAGAGTTGAGTTTACACATTTCAGAGAGCTGCCCTGAGACTAGAATTCTAGCCAGTGTTATATGTCCAATGTTAGCGTTACAAGGAGAACCTATTTTAGTGTCCAAGGAAAGGATTATGTGATGACTAGCAAAAGTCAAGATGCTGATGCCTAGTGGCTGTTGTAGTCTCTCCAGGTTGATGATGCAAAGATGCAAAGGAAATGGCACCACTGCTGTTTTTAACTGAGGAATGTAGCAGTCTCTCCAAAGTGGTATCAAAAGTTCAAAGACAGTAACTCCTCCTAGGAAGTTCTTAACACTCGCATTCTCCAGAAAAACCTCTGGTACCAGAAAGGAATCTTGGTCCTATTCCCTCAGGCTCTTGCCAAACTCACGTTAGCTGTTTGATCGCTTCAATCCACTCAGATCGCTCTGCCTTGCTGCTGGCCTGAATGTAATAGTGTGTGTCATCCTTAGTAATAACTTTGAAGAGGTTTCCCTGGACGTTCCCTTTAACTCCTAGGTAGAAAAAAAGACACAAGTGCATGCACAGAGAAGCATTTTTTCAATGTTAATGTATAGGGTTAAGGAATCCCCACCTTTTTTCCTCCCTTTGCCTCTTCCTCAGTTGAGCCCTAAGGCCCTCCGGCCATTCCTTGAAAGCCCTCTTGCCTGGCCCTCAGCTAATCATAGATCTACAGTAATCCATCCACTTGAAAGATTCCAGTATGTTTACATTAAAAGCAGTAAAGACAAATTCCATCTTTTCAACACAAATTCCATGTTTTCAACACACAGAATCTGTACAAAGTGGAGTACAATTATGCCAATTTGGAGGCAGGAAGCCAACAAGTTTGACTTTTAATTGCTTGACTTCTTGAATCTCAATTTTCACATCCATAAAATGGGGATAATAGCATCTGCTAGTTCTTGTGAAATTAGATGAGATACTAGAACTCGAACTCAACTGCCATCGACCCAATTCTGACTCCTAGTGACCTGAAAGGACAGAGCAGAATTGCTGCCTTGGTATCTGAAGCCATAAATCTGTACAGACTCTGACTGCAGAGCAGCTGGTGAGTTCAAACTGCTGACCTTTTGGTTAGCAACCCAGTGATTAACCCGCTGTGCCATCAGGGTGCCTTAATAGACCTAAAAAGTGTGTTGTAAACCCTAAAGCACTATACAGACCTTAGCTATTGTTCTTGGATGGAAGCCAATATGCACCGAAATTGGGGAAAAGAATACTAACATGTCTTTCTGATTCTGAAATTGGTTTCAAAACATACCATTCACTTATGGAAATTTTCCTAATCTGCTTCAAAGCTCAGCCCTTCACTACCAGCATTCATAAAAGTGAAGGAGGGAAGTCACCAGGCCTGAATGGAAGTTGCACCTTACCAGTGGGAACACCATTATCCTCCAGAGCAGACACGAGTGAGCCACGAAGAGAAAACCCACCAACTGGCCTGTTCTCTTCCTGCAGAGGAGCAAACACCTAATTAGAAATTTTGTGACACTCAGAAGGAAAAAGCTACAATCACTTGCAGGCCAACTGAAGAAGTCATGTAGGATATTTGTCATTGACTGTGTAGGTTATATGTAACTGACTTGAGCTTCACATGGCCAAGTTACATGCCCTAGTCAGCGCTTTCATTTCTCCACCAGCAGCAGCAATGCTCATTGACACTGCTATTACCAAGTCTGGCACACTTGAAACCCATCTGCTCATTCCTGAAGATGCAGCAACCAGCCTCCCTCCAGTCCAACACTATCAGAAGCACCGACAGGAGTCCTCAGCCCCTGTGTGCATCTGAGTTACCATTTCTGTAAGATTGACAGCCATTCCCGCATATTGTACACTGTGTATGCGGCTCTGAAACAAAATTCTGCATATTCTTCTGGATGACTCAGCAATGTTACACACCAGGCACTAAACTACCATGAAGGCCGAAGGAGTCCTTCAATTAATCAGCCACTTCCTGCTGCATGCTGGGCCCCGGCACTGTAGTTGGGTGTCACTGAGTTGATTTTGATTCAATAGCGACTCTTAGGACAGCGCAGAACTGCCCTATAGGGTTTCCTAGGCTGTCATCTTCACAGGAACAGCTGAGCACGTTACCATTGTGCCACCAGGGCTCCATAGGCCCAGCACTAGGTAGGGCAGACCATAATGCAGCTAATGAACAAAGGGAAAGACACAAGCCCAGCCTGGAGGGCTTAGGGGTGGCCTTGGCAGAAGAATTGGGACTTGAACTGGGTCTTGAGATGTTAGCAACTCCTGGGGGGACAGGGAGCAAACCAGTCACACATGTGTTTAGGATGAAGAGCAGGCTGAGGCAGTGCATCATCCAGGGCACAGTGGAAGTAGCAGGGCACAGTGGAAGTAGACTGGACTGCACTGTGATAAAAAAGGAAAGCAGAGCTAAAGAATCTTATTTGCCTTACTTATAAAAGGCTTGAAGGAGCTCTGGTAGCATAGTGGTTACAAGTCGGGCTGCTAATCTCAAGGTCAGCAGTTCGAAACTACCAGCTGTTTCGCGGGAGAAAGATGAGGCTTTCTGCTCCCGTAAAGATTTACAGCCTCGGAAACCCTGTACAGGGTTGCTATGAGTCGGAACCGACTCGACGGCACACTACTACAACCACTACCATCACCACCATAAAAGACTTCAGGTAGTCACAATAGAGTTTGAACAACCCAACCTGGGCAGAGGTCAGCCAGTGGCTGGCCCCTCAGGCAGCCCATCCTGCCTTGCCCCTCCAGGTCCTCGGCCCTCCAGGTGGTCTCTCAGGGGCTCCTTCTATGGCAGCGGGTTCTTCCTGGCTGAAGCCAGCAGGGAAGAGTGGCACACTATTTTCACCATTTCAAAAAAATTAATGAAAGTCATAGAGCAACCAAGACAAGCTGTAAAGCCTGACTAAAGGGGACAGTTCCGTTCCTGTGACTGGAATTAGATCAACTCAACGTGGGGTAATACTTATCATCCAGAGCTCAAAACAGCAATCCTCAGATCTTTTTTGTTTTTGTTTTTTAACCAAGAAAATTAGTAAATCACTGACTGATTAGATATTATGTGGTTAAAAAAGAAACTTTTCAAATCATAGGTGAGGACAAGAGATTGTTGTTATTGCTAAGTGCCGTTGAGTCAGTTCCAACTCATAGTGATCCTGTATAGGGTTTCCAAGGAGTGGCTGGTGAGCTTGAACCGACCCTGCAGTTCAAACCTTCTTTGCAATTCAGCGCATTAACCCACAGTACCACACCAGAACTCCAGGACAAGAGGTTAGGGGGGCAGAGTCTTGTTATCAGCCCACCTCACTCTGGGGAATCTAGAAGATGCTGTTCCTCTGAGAATAATGAAGTGGAGATAGATAGGAGCCGAGAGAAACAAGAGTGGCCTTGGTGTGAATAGCCTGGATGCGGAAGGAATGGACAGGCACTGAGAGACAGGCAGGAAATACAACTAGCTGACTGCTCTGTGGGGAGAGAAGTGTCTGGACATGTGGGAACACAGGTATCGGACACAGGCTGCAGCACACTCACCTTGGAAGGGTCATAGTAATGCAGGAAAGCCGGGTCCTTCCTCAGAACAAAGCGCCTCACCTTCCAGTTTTTCCTCTTGTGCCCCTGAGGCAAAAAAAGGGTTCAAGGCTCATCAGTTAGTGTTTAAGGCGCTTCCCCACCATCTCCATGTATCTGATGCCAAACATCCAAGAAGCCAGCTTGTTCCAGTAGGCCTACATCCTAAAAGCTATTGTGTGCTTTCTCATTGATTCAGATTTATAGCAACCTTGTACGACAGAATAGAACTGGCGCGTAGGATTTTCAAAGCTGTAAGCTTTACAGAAACAGATAACCATATCTTTCTCCTATGGGTTACCAGGCTTGTCCTAAAAGTAGTCTGCAGGAATCCTGAAGATTGCAATCACAAGACGGGCTCCCCTGACTGACATCATCCCCTGCTTGGGGACACTTTAGCAAAACATTGTCACATTTAGTAGAACCCAAGAGGCAAGGAACCACCACTCAACTATCTGTTGTACAGTGGTGGCTTGTGTATTGCTGTGATGCTGGAAACTATGTCGCCAATATTTTCAATACCAGTAGGGTTACCTATAGGAGTCTTGGTGTGGTGCTGCAGGATAATGTGCTGGACCGCAAGCTTGGTTTGAACCACAACATCAGTGGATCAAACTCACCAGCAGCTCCTCGGAAACCCTACACAGAGTCGCTAGGAGTCGGAACCAACTTGACGGCACTTAACAATAACAACAGGGTCACCTATGATGGATAGGTTTCAGCAGAGCTTCTAGACTAAAACAGACTAGGAACAAGAGGAGACAAATCACTTTGGATTGGCTAGCCACTGAAAGCCTTATGAATAGCAGCAGGACATTGTCAGATATTGTGCCAGAAGATGAGCCCCTCAGGTTGGAAAGCACTCAAAATACAATTAGGGATGACCTGCTGCCTCAAAGTAGAGTTGACCTTAATGGTATGACTAGAGCAAAGTTTTGGGGAACTTCATTTACTGAAGGGGCACGACTCATCAGAAACAACGGAAACATTAATCAAAACCTGGAATATACAAAGTATGGATCTAGAAAACTTGGAAGGTCTCAAAAATGAAATAAAATACATAAAAGTAGAAATCCTAGGCACTAGTGAGCTAAAATGCACAGGCCCTGGCCATTTTGAATCTGACAATCATATAGTTTACAACAACAGGAATGACAAATTGAAGAGGAATGAATGGCATTGCATTCATCATGAAAAAGAGTATTTCAAGATCAATTATGAAGTACAATGCTGTCTGTGATAGGATAATACCCATACACCTACAAGGAAAATTAGTTAATGCCACTATCATTGACATTTACAAGTCAACCACTAAAGCAAGTGATGATGAAATTTAAGAATCCTTACCAACGTCTTCATTCTGAAATTGATCAAACATGTAATCAATATGCATTGATGATGACTAGTGATTGGGATATGAAAGTTAAAAACAGAGGGAAGATCAGTAATTGGAAAATATGGCCTTCATGATAGAAATGATGCTGGAGATGGCATGATAGAATTTTGCAAGACCAACGACTTCTTCATTGCAAATACTATTTTAAACAACATTAAAGGCAACTATACCTCACCAACATAGACCTCACCATATGGAATCCACAGTAATAAAATTGACTACAACTGTGGAAAGACCATCAAAACAAGGCCAGAGGCCAACTGTGGAATAGACTATCAATTGCTCAGATGCAAGTTCAGGCTGAGGCTGAAGAAAAGTAAAACAATTCCACAAGAGTCAAAATATGACCTTGAATATGTACCACCTGAATTTAGAGGCCATCTGAAAAACAAATTTGATACATTAGACACTAATGTCTGAAAACCAGAGGAGTTATAGGATGACATCAAGAACATCAAGCAAGAAGAAAACAAAAAGGTCATTAAAAAGACATAAGAAAAGAAAATACCACAACAGATGTCAGAAAAGATTCTGAAACTTGATCTTGAGTGTAGAGAAGCTAAAGCAACTAGAAGAAATGAGGAAATAGAAGAGTTGAGCAGAAAATTTCAAAGGGTAGCTCGAGAAGACAAAATCAAGTATTATCATGAAATGCACAAAGACCTGGAGTTAGAAAATCAAAATGGAAAAACACTTCAGCATTTCTCAAGCTAAAAGAACTGAAGAAAAAGAATTCAAGCTTCTGGTTGCAAACTGAAGGTAAAACAATGACAGATGTAAGAATCATCAAAAGAAGATGACAGGAATACATAGAGTCACTCTAACAAAAAGAACTGATCAGTGCTCAACCATTTCAAGAGGTAGCATATGATTAAGAACACATGGTATTGAAGGAAGAAGTCCAAACTGGTTTCACCCACTGGGCAAGAGCCAATACAAGCTCCTATACCACCCGATCAATGGTAGACAGCAACCAACACCAGCAAAAACCTCTCCTAAACTGAGGTGCATGAACAGCAAAAGAAGAGCAATGCATATGCTTCCGATTTCTAACTACACCCACAGGAGACAGTTGGTGAGAACCTAAAACACATCAACATGCAAATATCAGTTAAATATAAGTATGACAACACCTCAATGCCCTGGAGTCAACAGACAATTTTAGCTTATATGAAGAAACAAGAACGAATGGCTCAAATAAATGACCAACATGCAGTGCCAGAAAACATTTCTGAGAAAGAAAAGGTAATGGAACTAACTGAAAAAGAATCCAAAAGAATGATATTTAGGCACCTTCCAAGGATTGACAGAAAGATCAAGAAAAGCAAAGAGAACACAGAAAAAAAAAAAAAAAAAGTTAGAAGAATTCAGGGAAATGATTAAGAAAAAACAGACAAAATAAATGCAAATTTTGAAACAATACAAAACCTGCAATTAGAAATCCAGAAGACAAATATTAAGATTTCAGAATTGGACCAATATATTGAAAGGGCAAAGGAGTAGATTAGAAGCAATGGAAACCCAAACTAGTGAGCTTGAAGATAAACCTCTCCATACTAGTATGCTAGAGAACAACCAGAAAAAATGAATGAAAAAACATGAAGAAATTCTAAGAGTTATGTGTGATACTATAAAGAGGAATAACTTACAGGTGATTGGAATTCCAGAACAGAAAGATACAATAATAAGCACAGAGAAAGTTGTTGGAGTTGTTGGAAGAAAATGTCCCTAACATCATGAAAGATGAAAAGATAATCATACAAGAAGATGAACAAAACACAAACAGGATAGATCCCAAAAGAAAATCACCAAGACATATCATAATCATAATTTCCAAAACCAAAAAAAGAATCCTTAGAGCAGTTCAAGAAAAATGAAAAATTACCTACAAAGGAGAACCAATAAGACTAAGCTTTGATTTCTCAGCATAAACCATGCATGCAAGAAGGTAATGGGATGGCATATATAAAACTCTGAAAGAAAAAAAAAATGCCAGCTAAGAATCATACACCCTGAAAAGCTATCCCTCAAATATGATGGTGTAATTAGGGCATTTCCAGATTTTAAAAATAGAAAAGAATTTGTAATAACCAGACCAACTTTAAAATACACTAAAGGAAATGTTTTGAACTGAGAACCAACAACAGTAAACAACAATCTGAGATTACCATACATGACAACACCACCCAAACTTAATTCAGATATGGAAGTATTTAAAGTAAAACAAACCTACAAGACTGAAAATAGGGAACCAGAGATATCAATTTATAATGTCAACTACAAAGCAAAAAGAGGGAATAGTGTAAATACAGAACTTCCAAATGGCACAGAAGTCAAATTGATTTCAAGATAAAACAGACTATTTTAAATGAGGGAAAACTAATAAATTACAAGGCAACCTCAAAGAAAATGAATACACCTTCACATCAAAATTTGTTGTTGTTGTTGTTAACTGTGGAGTAGGTTCCAACTTATAGCAAGCCTGTATTGGGTTTCTGGGGAGCAGCTGGTGAGCTTGAACCACCGATCTTGTGGTTCACACTGACCTTACAGCCCAGTGCATTATCCCACAATGCTACACCAGGACTAAAAATGAGGAAAAACAGGAAGAGTTAGTAAACATTAACAGCAATGAAGATGAAAAGAAAACTTACAAACAAAATGAACTCAATGCAGAAAATTATGAAGAAAAAAAGAAACCAGCAGCACCACAAAAAAACACACAGCAAAATGACAGCAAACAATTCAAACCTATTGATAATTACACTAAATGTAAATGGATTAAATATACCAGTCAAGATACAAAGAGTAGCAGAACGGATAAGAAAACAGCATCCTTCAATACGCTGTCTACAGAGACACATTAAGAAGATGGAGACAAAAAAGGAAAAAAGATGGAGACAGTCTAAATGACCATCAACAGAAGAATGGTTAAACAAAATTTGGTAAATACATATAATGGAATACTACACAGTGCTGAAGAATAATGGTGAGTCTGCAAAACACCTCACAACATGGACGAACCTGGAGGACATTATGCTGAGTGAAATTAGTCAATCACGAAAGGGCAAATATTGTATGGAAATCAATGTTGTAAAAACTTATAAAAGTGTTTTGTTTTTAATAAAAGAAACATTCTATGATGGGGGATTACTAATGAGCTAGAGGATAGACACATGTTAACATGGGTGATGGGACAGCAATACACAATGAGAGGGAGGTTGGCAGAGGAAAGATGAAGGTAATGGAAGCACAGGGAGGAATGCAGGAGTTAAGGTGAATGTTGTTGTTGTTGTTAAGTGCCGTCGAGTCGGTTTCGACCCATAGTGACCCTGTAAAAGGTTTCCGAGGGTGTAAATCTTTACAGGAGTAGAAAGCCTGATCTTTCTCCCGCAGAGCAGCTGGTAGTTTCAAACCGCTGACCTTAAGGTTCGCTGCCCGATTCGTAACCACTACGGAATAGAGATAAATATTGTTCACTGAACAAGGGATATCATTGCTGACATCAGATGGATCTTGGCTGGAAACAGAGAATACCAGAAAGATGTCTACCTGTGCTTTACTGACTATGCAAAAGCTTTTAACTGTGTGGATCATGGCAAGCAATGGGCATGCTGAGAATGGGTATTCCAGAACACTAAACTGTGCTCATGAGAAGCCTGTACATAAACCAAGAGGCAGCCGTTCAAACAGAACAAGGGGACACTGGATGTTGTGAAATCACGAATGATGTGTGTCAGAGTTGTGTTTTTCTTATTCAAATGGTATGTGAGCAAATAATCCAAGAAGCTGGATTACAGGAAGAAGAACATATCAGGATTGCAGAAAGATTCATTAATAACATATGATTGCTGATGATATAATCTTGCTTGCTGAAAGTAAGGAGAGCTTAAAATACTTGCTGATGAAGATCAAAGACCACAGCTTTCAGTATGGGTTGCACCTCAGTGTAAAGAAAACAAAAATTCTCACTACTAGACTAATAAATAACATCATGATAAAGGAGAAAAGACTGAAGTTGTCAAAGACTTCATTTTGTTTGAATCCACAAACAACACTCATGGAAACAGCAGTCAAATAATCCAAGAATGTATTGCATTAGGCAAATCTGCTGCACAAGACCTCTTTAAAGTGTTAAAGAGCAAAGATGTCAGTTTGAGAACTAAGGCGCCCTTGACTCAAACTACGGTAATTTTAATTGTCTCATATGCATGTGAAAGTTTGACAATGAATAAGAAAGACCATAGAAGAATTGATACATTTGGAGTATGGTGTTGGCGAAGAATGTTGAAAGTACCATGAAGTGCCAAAAGAATGAACAAATCTGACTTGGAAGAAGTACAGCCAGAATGCTCCTTAGAAGCCAGGATGAAGAGACATTATCACTTGTTCTTTGGTCATACTGTCAGGAGGAACCAGTCCCTGGAGAAGGACATCATGCTTGGTAAAGTGGAGGGTCAGAGAAAAAGAGGGAGATGGCCAATGAGATGGATTGACAAAACGGTCCCAAGCATAACAACAATTCCATGGACAATGAAGGACTGGGGCAGTGCTCATTCTGTTGTGCATAGAGTTGCTATGAGTTGGCACCCAACAATAACAACAACAAGTGAGAGTCAGGACTGAAGGAAATGGGGGTGGAGGAAATTTCCCAGGCACAGATTATGACGTCCAAAGGGATGCTGGAGGTGTCGGATGGACTGGAAACTTACCTCCAAACTTGACCCCAAGTGCCTCAGCCTTACAAAGGTTAATTAGTCCACAAGCAAACCTACAGCCACACTAGGTATTTACACATGTGTGCACACATGTACAATAAAACCACTTTAACATTGCCTGTCAGCTAAAGCAGGACAATGACTACCATTGTATGTTAATATCTGAAGTATAAGAAGATAAGAACATGTGTGTGCGCACATGGGTTATGTGTGACTGTTTAGCATCATCTCCTAGGTTACAAGCCTTCACTAGCCCTTTAATCTGTAACACCTCAGTCTCTCCCATTGATTCCCTTATTAGGATTCCCATCAGTCCTGAAGAAACAGGATACTGGGGATAGACACACAGCTGCACTGTTGTTGTTGTTGTTAAGTGCTATCCAGTTGGTGCTGACTCATAGCAACACTATGCACAAAAGAATGGAACATTGCTGGATCCTGCAACAACCTCACAATTGTTGCTATGCTTGAGCCCATTGCTGCTGCCACTATGCCAATCTTGTTGGGGGTCTTCCTCTTTATCTCTGACCCTCCTCTTCACCGAACATGATATCCTTCTCCAGGGACTTGTCCCTTCTGATAATATGTCTGAAATATGAGAGACGAAGTTTGGCCATCCTGGCTTCCCAGAAGCATTCTGGCTGTACTTCTCCCAAGTCAGATTTGTTTGTTCTTCTGACAGTTCATGGTACTTTCAATATTCTTCACCAACACCATAACTCAAATGCATCAATTCGTCTGCAGTTCACTGTTCAACTTCCACTTGCATATGAGACAATAAAAATACCATGGCTTGGGTCAGGTGTCCTTTGATTCTGTGACTGATATTTCCCTGAGTGTTGAAGGTTGAGCTGAGCTAAATGAAGTCTTTGACAACTTCAATCTTTTCTCCATTTATATGGATGTTTTTATTGGTCCAGTGGTGAGGATTTTTGTTTTTTTTACATTGAGGTGCAACCCTAGTGAAGATTGTGGTCTTTGATCTTCAGCAGACAGCTGCATGTACAGTAACTAACATAAGAACAGATGGGGATCCTGATAGCAAGAAGCACATGCTTAGAGTAACAATGGGAAGGGTGCTGAGCTGTGTACAGACACACACTTTCCACAACATATGGTGTGTGCACAAACACGTGGTTGTGCACGAGGTTCACTTGCACAGTCATGTGCCAGACACAGGGACTGCATTCATGGTGAGTTGGCCCTTGACTCATGGCAACTCCCTATATTATAAAGAACACTGCTCCACAAGATTTTCTTGGCTGCAGTCTCTAGGGAATCAGTTTGCCAGGCCTTTCTTCTGGTAAATTATTGAATGGTTTTATGAAAAAAATGGAATGAAAAGATAATGGATTTTTTCCATGAACTTTTTGAAGCTTCCTCACATGTGAGAGTGGGCAATGATGTAGAAGTTGTTGCTAATGTTGTGATCACTGCTTGTCCTAGACAGCACTCCTTGGTAGTGAGTACAATTGATATGTAAGTGTGAGCACACGCCTGTTCTCGAACTCGCTCTCTATGGATAGTGCTGGGCTCCTGCCACAGGTTGGTGATCTGTGCACTCTATGCCTTGGCCCTTCCCTCTTTTTGGAGTCTTTTCTGCCTTCTACCTCCTCCCTGGAGTCCTGGTGTAGCTCTGCAGGATAATACACTGGACTGCAAAGTCAGTTTGAACCACAAGGTTGGCGGTTCAAGCTAACCAGCTGCTTCTCAGAAACCCTGAACAGGGTCGTTATGAGTCGGGGTCAACTTGGTGGCACTTTAAGAAAAAACAAACTCCTCCCTGCTCACCAGGCAGCCATACCTGCTTGGCCAGATAGCCTTGTTTTACCACTGGGCCACTTAACTCCACAGTGCTGAGGTTGATTTCTTCTTTGGAGCTTATTTTCTTCTTGTAGCTCTCAGCCTAGTGAGAAGGAGATAGCAAGGACACTGTTACAGAAAGACTCAGGCCCAAGATCTGGGTCTACTACAAGGAAATGAAATCACTCAATCAGAAACCACTCAAATCAGAAAACCGCACTCCACTTAGGATGATGCTATGCCCCAACCCCTACGCATCTGGTATGGTTTGAATTGTGTCCCACCAAAATATGTGTTCTAAATCTGAAGACCTATGCCTGTGGTGGTAATCCCATTTGGAACCGGGTTTTCTTTGTTATGTTAAAAGGCCATATCACCTTGGAGATACAAAAAGAGCATTTCAGGCCTAGCAAGAAAGCAGAGATGAGGGAAGACAGGTGCCAAGCCACATGGAAATCCCCAAGGAACAAGGAAACTGAAGCTGAAAAGAGGCAAAGACCTTCCTCCAGAGCCTACAGAGAAAGCAATCCTCTGCCTGAAACATAAGTAGTACTAAAAGCTGTCCACTTGTGGTATTTCTGTGATGGCACCACTCGATACTAAGACAGCCTCCTCCAGGCCACAACTCTGTTGCTGCCATTTGCCCCCTTTGCCCTGGTAGTGGGAGGAATCCCCTCCTGAACTTACAAACGTGTAAAGAGCTGTGGAGTCATCCAGGAACTGCTCGGCCAGATCCCCAGAGCGAATGGCCCCCATGCTACGGGCGCCCACTGGTCTGAGGAAGTTCTCCTCCATGAGCACGGAGGCCAGGGTCACCGCCTCCAGACGGCTGGCCGCGAAGCTGTTGGAGATGAGCCAGTCCACCAGGGAGGAGCCTGTGTCAGGGCACGGGCAGCGCCGGTCAGACAACAGGCTACAGATTGACCTCCTCAGGGTGCTTGACAGTGACCTTCACCTCTGGGCAGTCTCCAGGTTCTACCCAAGAGCAGCGTGAAGGCCAGACATGCTGCCCAGAGCTATGGTCACAGCCAGTGCCATCTCCGGCAGGTTGGTTGGTCAGCTAGCAGGCAGCTCTGGCCCATGGCTGAGTCTCAGGCCCCGCTGCTCCACCCCACCCAGAGCCGGGCAGGCTCACCTATGAAGGTCTTTTTGTAGGTGCTTCCCTGTTCCATGTTGGGGCTCGGCCGGATCCCACCACTGCTGTCGTGCATCTTGTTCACAATGAGACTACACAGAAGGAAGGAAGGGGATTCTCATCACACTGACAGGTAGAAATTGTTGCTCTTAAGTGCCACTGAGTCAGTTCCAACTCATAGCAACCCTGTCTAGGGTTTCCATGGAGCAGCAGGTGGGTTTGCACTGTAGGTCTTGCAGTGGCCCAAAGCCTCCAGTAAGGGTATAAATCAAGTGGCCAACGGTGTGATGGTGTGATACACACCATACAGAAAGAGATGCATTCAGTTACACACTAGCATTTGAGAGGCAGGATTTAGGAAATTTCTTTTCTTTTCCGAATGCATCTAAATATGCTAATATTTCTATACCAAGTAGGTATTATTTCTGTAATAAGACTAATGAGCTAAGACAGTGAGCTTTAAATTAAGAGTGTACAGGAACCCACAATGCTTCTTCATTATCTACTGCATTAAGTCTATACTCTCCAACTAATTTCCAACTCTCCCCACTCCTCCCCACGCTCACTGTCATTTATGGAAAACCTATACAGGGTCACTATGAGTCGGAACAGATTCGACAGCATTTAACCAACAACAGCCCACAGAGGCTGCACAAGCAAAACTCCAGTGCTTAGTTAAGAGTCTTTGATGGGAATCCAGTTCTGCTACCTGAGTTTGTGGGTGAGCCTCATACCACGTCTTTGATCAGAATCCCAGTTCTGCTGTCTGGGGAGCTGAGGGTGTTTTCTGCAGATGGGCTGTTGAGGTGAACTTCTTACAGCATCACCTCCACCACTGCCCTGCTTTCCTTATGTTCAGTGGGACAATGGCCGCTGCTGAGCTGATGGGAGATGTTTGCTATTTATGTGCTGAGACCTGGTTTATCCCTGTGTGCATCCCCAGAACATTTAGCACACACTCAATAAGTGTTTCTTGGACAAATGAAGTACCCCAGAACACATCATTCTTGCCATCAGGTTGAAAACAAGACCAATGACTCAATTGGGGAGGATTCTCTGAGCACTCTGGCTGAAACTGAAGGGGTCTCAAGTCACTGCAGTGGGCACATGCAACAGAGGCCCCTAGAGTTTGCATAACAGTGGGTAGGTAAGTAGGGCCACTCCCAGGCAAAGAAAACCTATGAACAGGTTATAGCTGAAGACCTTGAAGTACAATGATCATCAACAGGGACCCCAAGAAAGACCTGCCCCTTCCCACCCACTCCCCACAGATATAAGGGGCCATAGTAAAGCCAGGTAGCAGCAAGGGTGGGAGTAAGTGGGGCACTCACTTCAGGCTGATGTGAGGGGGCAGCTTGAAGGAGTTTTTCAGTATGTGGAGCTGCTGGACTTTCCCTGGCTGCCCGGCATGAATGGCTCCGGTTATCTCAAAGGCCCAGGCATCCCTCTCTTCTCGAGAGCACGCCTCCAGGAAGTACTCTGTGGATGTTCGAGTCTTCAGCTTAATGAGCAGCTGTGGGAAGAGATGGTCAGATCAGCACTCCAGGGCCAGAGCAGGCAAAAGAATGCCAGGCAGCAAAACTCACTGGGCCACACGACTCAAGGAGGCTGAATAGTCCACAAAGTGACAAGACCTTTCCTTCATGTACCAGGAATCTTATTGATGGACCAGGAATCTTATAACTGAACCTTAGCTCCTCATGTCAAGCTTCCTGAGGGCGTTTTCTCTTACTGGAAACCCTTCCATGGTGCTCCATCAATTTCCTACTACTTCCTCAGCGTTCCCTTTTGGCCACACTCCGAAGTCCTAATCCCCAGAATTCACCCCAACTGCTCTATGCACAGTGCTACTTTCCTCACTTCTTACTCAAGATGGTTCACCTGCTCCCTTCTCTCTCAGATCCTTGCCCAAATCTCTCTTCCTCTCAAAACTGTATCTGGTCCAGCCAGCCACTAATGACATCTTCCTCCTCTTCAGAAATTGAGTGTTTTCTGCAGCTAATAAGGTTTGCACCACCATTTAGAACTCTCTTTGTTTTTTCAGCTAACTACTTACTTTACTAACAAGATTATCAGCTCGAAGAAGAAGCAATCTTACCATTGTCATGCCTAGCAAATTTCTTGGCAAATAGGCCCTTGACAAACGATTGATCAAGACTGACATTTTGCTGATGGTAGGGATGAAGCCACTCCTGACTTCTGGAGCTCACATACCTCTAGGAGTGAAAGTCATCATGCCAAACCCCAAGACAGCGACAATTACATTTGGGTTGGACCTCCTACTCTACAGAGCATTTTAGCAAAACACTTCCCTATGAGCCTCATCAGCATGTGAGATTATCAGGTATCATTCTTTTACAGAATCTTATGGCTGAAGAACTAAGGCTCAGAGAGGTTCAATCACTTGTCCGAGGTCATTTACCTGTTTGGCGGTGAAACCAGGTTTGCCAGTCATAACTGAGTTCTCTGCATTACCCACACCACCTTCACAAAAGAAGACAAAGGTTGGAAAGGTCTGGGCTAGGGAGGAGCTGGGAAGTGGGACCTCACTTACAGGTCGGTTTTCATAATCCAGGCAAGGGCAGGTGATGGTACAGCCATCCAGGAGGATGCGGCCCTTGGGAGGGGTCACTTTCCGGCCACCCTCAAGCTTGTAGTATAGCAGTGTGTTCTGTCGGAGGATGAACCACCGGACCTTCCAGTTGTGGACAATGTGGCCCTGGGAACAGACAGGAAGTAAGATAGCCCTGTGGTGAGCTGTCAAGGGAGGACACTGTACTCTGGGAGACATGTCCATGGCAAAGGGAACCAGACTCTGCCATGGAGACAAACTCTGCAGTGAAGGGAGAACACATTATTTTTGCCTCTTCATCATCTCTTTAGTGTGTTGTGAAGGTCTTTGGAGTTGACCGTCTAGTTCCCATTTGGCCTTTCCAATTCTGACTCATTGCGAACCTACAGGACAGACTAGAACTGCCCCCAGAGGGTTCTCAAGACTGTGATCTTTATGAAAGCGATTGCCACATCTGTCTCCCATGGAGCAGCTGGTGGGCTTGAACAGCTGATCTTTCAGTTAGCAGCTGAGTACTTAGCCACTATGCCACCTTGGCTCCTTGCAAAATATATAGAAAAAACCCACTTACCTGTAATCCTACCACTATAAATAGTCATTGTTAACATACTTTATTTCTTTCCAGTCTTTTCCCACTTTTAGTTTTTTTTCTTTCTAGGATTGTTTGTTTGTTTGTTTTTAAATCAGGACCATACTACATATTGTTTTATTTTCAAGGTTGGTTTTGTTTTAATGATTTTTTCTCATATCATTAAATTTCTTTAAAATATGTTTTTAAATGACAAACATATGGTGGTTACAAGTCAGGCTGCTAAGCTCAAGGTTAGCAGTTCGAATCTACCAGCTGTTCTGCAGGAGAAAGATGAGGCTTTCTGCTCCCGTAAAGATTTACAGCCTCGGAAACCCTGTACAGGGTCGCTATGGGTCAGAATCAACTCGACAGCACTTAACAACAACAAAGATTTACAGCTTCAGAAATCCTATGCAGGGTCACTATGAGTCGGAACCGACTCCACGGCACATCACCACCAGCACCATCCCTTATCTTGAAGTACAATGTTGTCTGTCTATGACAGTATAATATCCATATGCCTGTAAGGAAGCCCAGTTAATGACACTATTATTTAAATTTACACACCAACCACTAAAGCAAATGATAATGAAATTTGAAGAATTCTACCAACTTCTTCAGTCTGAATAGATCAAACATGCAATCAAGGTATATTTATAAATACTGGTGATTGGAATGCAGACGTTGGAAACAAAGGTCAGTAGATGAAAAAAATAGTGTTGGTGAATAAAAATCATGTTGGAGAGCACATGATAGCTTTGTGTAAGACCAATGACTTATTCATTGCAAATACCTTTTAAAACAACATAAAAAGCAATTATATTATGTTGATTATATAATAAACATAATTTAACATATTAGATTATGTTTATTATATAATAAAAATAAATAAATATTGATTATATTCCTTACTTGGTGGAATACATAGGAATCAAATTGACTACACCTGTGGGCAGAGACAGTGGAAGAGCTCAACAGCCAAAACTAGGACAGTGGTCAGCTGTGGAACAGACCAACAACTTCTCATATGCAAGTTCAGGCTGAAACTGAAGAAAATTAATACAAGTCCAGGAGAGTCAAAATATGACCTTGAACATATCCCAACTAAATTTAGAGGTCATTTCAAGAACAAATTTGATGCATTAGACATTAATGACCAAAGACCAGAAGAGCTGTGGAATGACATCAAGAACATCATACAGGAAGAAAGCAAAAGAAATATGCAGAAAGCTGGAGTTAGAAAACCAAAGGAAAAAAACACACTCAGTATTTCCCAAGCTAAAAGAACTGAAGAAAAAATTCAAGTCTCAATTGCACTACTGATAAATGTTATGGGCAAAATACTGAATGATGCAGAAAGCATCCAAAGAAGCTGGATAGCATACAGAGTCACTGTACCAAAAAGAAATGGCTGATGTTCAATCGTTTCATGAGGTGGCATATGATCAAGAACCGTTGGTACTCAGACCAGAACTAGATGGTGCCCTGCTACCACTACCAACTGCTCTAAATGGGATGACATTAGAAAGTCCTAGAGAGAATGGGAGAAAATGTGGAACAAAACTCAAAGTTATTTTTTTTTTAAATGACTGGGCTTTACTGGTCAGAAAGTGACTGAAGGAACCTGAGACTATGGCTGTCAATTGCCCTTCAGGTCTAGAAAGGAACTTACCCTTGTGGCCCAATTTTCAGTCAAGCAGTAAATAGCTATATAGAATAGATGGCAACACTAGTAAGGTATGCTCACCAAGGAATGGTCAATCATTCCAAATAAAAAGGGCAACATATACCTAAAGACAAAGTTGAGAAGGGATGGGAATGTGGTTGGGATGGAACTAGAAACCCCAAAGAGGAAGTGGAATAACTGTTGTTGTATGAAGGGGTTTGCAATCATTGAGATGAAACAAAGTGTATGATTGGACTGCCAGTGAGATGGTGGACTAGGCAGACACACTACAAGGACCCTCTACAACAATGATATAACAGACAAAATAAAACAGCCACAGATGAAAATTCTGTCACCCTGAACTTCAGATGAAAGGTTAGCGAGGTGGATGGAATGCTTGCTGGGAGGACACATTGAGCAGGGAAGGTGAGAGACGGAGACTGACTGGTGAATGGCTGGCCAGACGGGGCTCTAGCATCTTGTATGCAGCATGGGCAGTGGAAAGAGGCCTGGTGGAGCAGATTCATGGAGGGGGGGGCAAAAAAGGTGCAATTTCTTCTTTTTCCCCATGCTCCCTTGGTGACCAGAGTGGGACTCCCACCCTCATTTACCCTCAGTGCAGACCCTGCTCTTTGGGAGTTCAGAGCCACGTGGTTGGAAGCCACAGCAGTGTGAGTTGGGGACTAGCTGCATGACTTTGGTGTGTCACTTTGGTGATTGGATGCAGGTGGGCTTGGCTCCAGAGTTACTAAACCTGCAGAGCCACCAGACCAGCATTTAGCCAGTCACCCTGACCCCAGCTGCCCTGTGGTCCTAGCAGACACAGAAACCAGCTCCATCAGTGGCCTCCATGAACTATTTCCAGATTGAATGCCCTGAACATAGATAACACTGAAGCCAGTAGGAACTCCATCTAGGGCCAGGAACTCTGCTGTCATATGTGTTCCACAACCACCGTGTGAGCTCCTTGAGTTGCAGGAGCCCACTAGAGATTTCTCCCCTCTGGGTCCAACAACTGCACTGTTTATTTATTACAAATACAACAAACCCACAATGGCTCAGAGATAACAGACAGTTTTAACTCACATGAAAAAACAAGAGAGAACAGCTCAAACAAATGACCAGGATGTACAGCCAGAAAACATTTCTGAGGAAGAAAAAAGATAATGGAGCTAACTGAAAAAGAATTCAAAGAATAATAACAAGATATCTTCAAAGGATCAATAGAAAGATCGAAGAAAGCAAGGAAAACATAATAAAAAAAACTTTAGAAGAATTCAGGAAAACACTACAAGAACAAACAGACAAAATAAATGCTAATTTTGAAACAATATGAAACCTGCAATTAGGAATTCAGAAGGCTAATACTAAGATCTCAGAAATTGACAATATATTGAAAGGGCAAAGGAGTAGATGTGAAGCAATGGAATCCTGAATTAGTGAGCTTTAAAATCAATTTCTCAATACCAGTATGCTTAACAACAACATCATTAGCATGCTAGAGGAACAATCAGAGAAAAAGAATGAAAAAAATCCAAAGAAAGCCTAAGATTTTTAAAAAATATATTTTATTGTGAATTATATGATAGTTTGCATCTGAGAACTTTAGCTGTACATTCATTCCATCGTATATCATCTCATTGCCATGGTTCCAATCCCCTCCACGCATCATCAACCACCCAAAGGGTATATCCCAGAAACCTGCCCCCTACACTTCCCTCTCCTCCCCCCAGTTTTCGGGCCACAGTCCCTTTCCCTCTCTGGGTCCAAAATGCCCAGTTGCTTCATCACTCCACATCATCATCTCTGTCTCCATCTCAGGCATCTCTGTTTCTCTGGGTAGGGTCCCGCTCTTGGCTCTTCTCCATTGATGGTCCCAGAGACCTCCGCTCCTATCCTGGTGAATTAATCACTCCTTTCCTTGTTACAAAACTTCCACCTTTGCATTTCCAACCCTCATAATCCGTGCTGATAAGCATTATTCACTACAGTATCACGAGTTACCCATCTGTATCTCCTTTCATCAGGTCCGCCCAGACAGATTGAATAGTACCTACTGGAGCTTCTGCCTTCCACCATGCTCCCTAGCACCAGGTTCCCTCTTGAAAGCTTGTAAGCCAGTCACTTCTTGCCTTTGTAACCCCCCTCCCCATTTGAGTATCCAATGTCCAAGCTGCCCTTCTCTGTCCACTCTGTGTGTGGGTGTGTGTGTGAACGTTTCTTGGAAAGCCTAAGATTTATGTGGAATGCCATGAAGAGTAACAATTTACAGGTGATTGGAATTACTAAACAGGAAGAGACAAGCACAGAGAAAACTGTTGAAGAGTTGTTGGAAGAAAACTTCCTTAGCATCATGAAAGATGAGAAGATAAGCATACAAGAAGCTGAATGAACCCCAATAGGATAGATCCCAAAAGAAGATTACCAAGACATATAATAATCAAACTTTCCAAAATCAAAGACAAAAAGAATCCTAAGAGCTTGGGAAAAACAAGAAGTTACCTACAAAACAGAACCAATAATACTGAGCTTGGATTTCTCAGTAGAAACTATGCAGGCAAGAAGGCAATGGAGTGACATATACAAAACTCTGAAAGAAAAAATTGCCAGCCAAGAATCATGTACCCAGCAAAGTTGTCCCTCAAATACAACAATCAAATTAGAACACTTCCAGATAAGCAGAAATTAAAGGAATTTATGATAACAAGACACAGGGAGGAATGCAATAGTTAAAGTGAATAGAGGTGAATGCCGTTAACTGTTGGTACATAGTGGGGACTGCAACCAAGTTATGAAGCAAAGTATGTGATTTGTTGAATGTACAACTGATGATGTGCTCTGTAAACATTCACTCAATTCACAATAAAAAATATTTAAAAACAAACAAAAAATATGATGGTCTTGTCTGTA